TTTTCTAACTAATCATCGCTATTGGAACGTTGGCATTAATTTCAAAATTTACGACTCTCTCCTTTAAAGACTTTGTATATAACAAGCTGTCGAGAGAATATTATATTCTCCGAGGCTATAATGATCTGTTTGAATACGCGGAAGCACAGAAAATTTTTTTTTTTTCAAAAATCTTTCTCGAAAAAAAAAAATTTTTCCCACATTGGATCACGAAGATTAAGATTGGTTTTTATCTGATAATTTCTGTATATAACCAAATCGCTGAGATGATGATGCGGTATATATATATATATAGAAGCAATTAATATTCAACTCTATGCGATAGGGCCAACACTGTGGTCGATGAATTTATCAAGTGCGCAGATCAATCCGTTAAAATAATCGAAATGCTAATTATTCATTTGCATAATTAACACTCGCGCAATAAAGCTAGCCCCCATGCTGTCCTTTTGGCTCTATATATCCCGCGCGCATATTGCCGAAGATTAACTCAAAAGCAACTCCTTGCTAATGTGCGTTCGTTTGAATATTAATTTCAAATTGCGATATTCCTGAATTCAATTTTCACCGAAAAAAAGGAAAAAAAAAAAAAAGAAAGAGAGTAGCATATATTTCTTGTCATTAATCATTGACTCTTGACTTTAATTGCTTATTTTTTCTCTAGCCTATGTGTCTAAATTTGAATTCATTACTTTTGACTAATTTGAATGTGTCGTTTCGTTCATTAAATTAATTAGTAACCGTTTTGGTTGATATTAGTCAGAAATGACTCGTATTGGTCAAAAAATTACTGAAATTAGTAAAAATTAATAACATTTGTAGAAATAGCTAATATTAGTCAAAAATTATTAATATTATTTAAACATGACTAATAATTTGTAAAATATTAGTCAGATATTACTCATATTAGTCAGAAAAAAACTAATATTGGTCAAAAAAAGATTAATATTTTTAAAAATAGCTAATATTAATCAAAAATTACTAATATTAGTCAAAAATTACTAATAATTTCACAAAAATTACTAATATTAGTCGAAAGAATACTAATATTGGTCAAAAAATTACTAACATTTGTAAAAATAGCTAATATTAGCCAAAAATTATTAATATTATTTAGAAAAATACTAATATAGGTCAAAAAATTACTAATGTTTGTAAAAATAACTAATATTAGTTCAAAATTATTAATATTAGTCAGAAAAATACTAATATAGGTCAAAAAATTACTAATATTTGTAAAAGTAGCTAATATTAGTAAAAAATTATTAATATTAATCAGAAAAATACTAATATTGGTCTAAAATGACTAATAATTTGACAAAAATTACTAATATTAATCAAACATGACTCATATTTTGACTAAAAATAGTAAAAAATTACTAATATTAGTCAGAAAAATACAAATATTAGTCAAACAAAATTTATAACATTTGTAAGAATAGATAATATTAATAAAAAATTATTAATATTAGTCAGAAAAATACTAATATAAGTCAAAAAATTACTAACGTTTGTAAAAATAACTAATATTAGTTAAAAATTATTAATATTAGTCAGAAAAATACTAATATAGGTCAAAAAATTACTAACGTTTGTAAAAATAACTAATATTAGTTAAAAATCATTAATATTAGTCAGAAAAATACTAATATAGGTCAAAAAATTATTAATATTTGTAAAAATAGCTAATATTAGTCAAAAATTATTAATATTAGTCAGAAAAATACTAATATTGGTCAAAAAATGACTAATAAATTGAGAAAAATTACTAATATTAATCAAACATGACTAATATTTTGACTAAAAATAGTCAAGAATTACTAATATTAGTCAGAAAAATACCAATATGAGTCAAAAAAAATTTATAACATTTGTAAGAATAGATAATATTAGTCAAAAATTATTAATATTAGTCAGAAAAATACTAACATTTGTAAAAATAGCTAATATTAGTCAAAAATAAATATTATTGTTCAAAATATACTAATATTAGTCAAAACTGACTAATAATTTGTCAAAAATTAGTTAGAAATTACTAATTCTTAGTAAAAAATTACCAATTGATAGTAATACTACTAATAGTTAATTATTAATCACTATTTTTCACTAAAAATTAGCCATAACTGTTACTAATCCATTTATCGAATGAATTCATCAAAACTAATTAAAACACAGAACAGATAAATGACAAAGCAAACATTTTTTCAAATAATAAATAAATTTTTTAACTCAATAAAATATTTAACAAACGTGATTCTAATTTTAAAACAAAAAAAATTTTTTCATTAAAAATTACCCGCGAAAACATTAAGAAAAAAAGAAATTCCTCCACGACGCGACTATTTCGACATTCTTGGATGTAAATGTTATCGATTTCAATCTCGTTCAGATGCAAATCAAATAGACCAGGAGAATTTATTCCCTTCATAAATTTAAGTCCTGTGCCTTTACTCTCATAATCATAAAGTTTGCATGACGTCTTGTGTGTTAATGGAAATATAGTAGCAGTGCAATAAATTCCAATTTCATGTTTTCATTTTCCATTATTGAATCATTTATATATATATATGTACTTAGGGAAAAACAAAAAATCCAAATTCAAAAAAAGAAAGTTGCGGTTTTAGATAATTTTCTACCCCCCTCTAGACTCATCATCCCTCTTTCTCTTGGTCAAGCAATTAGAAACCCATTATCTCAACAGTGGCACGCGTATTGTGTTGACGATTTTCAGAGCGCGGTTTCTGCACCTTCCATGTGTATATATATATACATATACAGTATATCGTCGGACGCAGATGGATGTCCCGCAATCAGGTGCACGACGGGACCCCCTGCCATTAAATTTGTCCGTACCAGCTGGTGAATCGTAACCCGCAATGGACGCCCGCTGTTTCGTTTTGCGTTTATGTGTTTTGGTTCATGGACAAAAAATTGGCACAAGAGAATAGAGGTGGGGAAACATGTCACGTCCTGTTTCTGTTTGTGCGCGAGTCCTTTTTATATTCGCATTTCAAAAAAAAAAAAAAAAAAACAAAACAAAATAAATTTCAAAATAACGAACCTTATATATCCGTGAAGAATTATAGGATTGGCGTTAATTGTCCGTTATAGGCCGAGCAGCATGCTATATACACGGCGGAAGTGACTATCAAACTATACGGGTACGAACGGTGATTTACGAACCGATTTTGCGCGGGCTAAAGCGGAGAAAAAGCAGAGAGAGTGGACCGCGCCGTCCGTTTAGACCGTGTGGCATATAAAAAATAATAAACCTCTCTCTATGCACACAGAGGCGCCTCTCGCACTAGGCGATTAAAATCAAATTCAAATAATAAATTAGAAACTAAATCAAAAAAAATTTGTCGAAAATATATTTCATTTTATTTTATTCTTACTACAATTTATATTAATCTAGTTAATTTTGTTTGCTAAACAAACTATTTTATACTGCCTCCATTGCAGGGTTTCTTTAGCAATTGTTGTTAAAGAAAAAAAAACAGTTGCTTTGATACCGGTTATGCTATGGCACCGATTTGGCTATGGTACTGGGTTCTATGGTTCCGGTTTTGCTATGGTACCGGTTTTAGTATGATACTGGTTTGGCTATGGTACCGATTAGGTTATGGAACCGGTTTTTCTATGGTACCGGTTTTGGTATAGTACTGGTTTGGCTATGGTACCGATTCCTATGGTACCTATTTGGTTATGGTACTGGTTTTGGTATGATACTGGTTTGGCTATGGTACCGGTTTCTATGGTACCCATTTGGCTATGGTACCGGTTTTGGTATGATACTAGTTTGGCTTTGGTACCGGTTTCTATGGTACCGATTTTGGTATTGTACTGGTTTGGCTATGGTACCGGTTTCAATGGTTCCGGATTTGATATGATACTGGTTTGGCTATGATACCGGTTTCTATGGTATCCATTTGGCTATGGTACCGGTTTCTATGGTACCGGTTTTGGTATTGTACTGGTTTGGCTATGGTACCGATTTGGCTATGGTACCGGTTTCTATGGCTCCGGTTTTAGTATGATACTAGTTTGGTTTTGGTACCGGTTTCTATGGTACCGGTTTTGGTATTGTACTGGTTTGGCTATGGTACCGGTTTCTATGGTTCCGGTTTTAGTATGGTACTGGTTTGGATATGGTACCGGTTTTGCTGTTACCAGTTTTGCTATGGTACTAGTTTGGCTATGGTACCGGTTTCTATGGTTCCGGTTTTGGTATGATACTGGTTTGGCTATGATACCGGTTTCTATGGTATCCATTTGGTTATGGTACCGATTTTGGTATGATACTAGTTTGGTTTTAGTACCGGTTTCTATGGTACCGGTTTTGGTATTGTACTGGTTTGGCTATGGTATCGGTTTCTATGGTTCCGGTTTTAATATGGTACTGGTTTGGATATGGTACCGGTTTTGCTGTTACCAGTTTTGCTATGGGTCTGGTTTGGCTATGGTACCGGTTTCTATGGTATCCATTTGGTTATGGTACCGGTTTTGGTATGATACTAGTTTGGTTTTGGTACCGGTTTCTATGGTACCGGTTTTGGTATTGTACTGGTTTGGCTATGGTACCGATTTGGCTATGGTACCGGTTTCTATGGTTCCGGTTTTAGTATGGTACTGGTTTGGATATTGTACCGGTTTCTATGGTACCGGTTTTGCTGTTACCGGTTTTGCTATGGTACTGGTTTTGCTATGATACCGGTTTCTATGGTTCCGGTTCATTAAAATTTCACTTATTTTTACATAACCAAAAAATTACCTAAAATTTATCTAACACTTACAATTAGCTAAATATCTGTTCAAAATCCACAATTTTCAAGCAAATTTTTAACCAGACAATGATTCGCAAAAAATCACAATTGTTTGTTAACCTTATTTCAAATAATGCTAATAAATACAGAAACTTTAAATTTCTCGCGCGTTGGTATTAATGTTTTGAAATTGATTCAATGGTTGGACTAAACCGATCATAAATTTGAATGGCTTACCTGTGGCAACGATACCGCGTTGTCGTCGTCGTCGTCGTCGTCGTTTCTGCTATGCACCTTTTTGGATTCGATATATATCCCCGAGAACGCGTTTGGCTTCCTGTATGCGCACCTTCTCCGCACACAATCCTGATATATAAAAGCGAGGATTTCGGTTTTCTCCATATAGCAAAAACCCAATACACCATTTCGATATTTTATCGGCGCAAAGATGCATTTTTATGTCGTTCTCGTCGTCTTCCTGAAACCAAAAAACTAAAACATCAATAAATCAAATAAAAAACTGTCACACGTAATGGAAAAATATAGGATTTTTTTTTTCATGAACAATTTCTGGAAAATATATTCCCAGACATAAATTGCGGTGTACTGCGTCAATTTTTATTTAAAGATGAAATTTTCTAAAATTAAAATTTTAAATTAATTACAAATTTTTTACAAATTCGTTTCTACTGAAATACAAAAAAGGTGTATTTCAAAGTTGGAAAAATTTTTTCTCAATGTCGGAACTTTTTATATAAAGAAGCTTTGCGTGACACGTCTTTTCATATATATATATATATAGTTCTAGTCTGATTTTCTTGGTAAGATTTGCCGACGGCGAAGCATAAAGTATGTAAGTGAACATTATATACACCTTTTCTTGATACACCTGACGTGTATGGTATATATATATTTTTAGAGATCTCTGAACATTCAATTGGGATCAAATACACTTTTTGTAACTTTCAAATTTATGTGGAAAATAAAATTTATTTTCTAAGAAAATAGTGGCAATATTGAGGTAATGTTACTGAAATTTATTGTTGAGTAACGAAATTTGTAAAAATGTTCATTGAGAATCACTGTTCATTTATTCATCGCCTAGGGCAGGACTTTTTTTTTTTTTTTCCTCTTCTCCTCCTTTTCACTTTCATAATCGACGAAATCCTGTTCGCTTTTTTCCTCTCTTTTTGGAGTCGTAAAAGCAGACACTGGCCTGTTTGCATATATCGGTCGAAACCGCGTGTTACGTCAATTAGCAACACGTTCACCAAAAGTGGTGAGAGCCCACAAGTCCCACGTCAGATAATTAGACTGGTGGACCGTGTCGTCGGCGCTATGGGAAAAGTAGACAATGGCTGATGAGTGAGGAGCAAAGAGAATACGAGAACAAAATGGAATACGGAATGAGGGCTTATTCTTTCTCTCTCTCTCTCTCTCTTTATTTCTCTTTCTCTGTTTAAGGGGTTAGTCCACATTGAGGGTACATAAAACTCTTACTTTCTTTTCTACTCCAGTTTTTTGTTTCATATCATTCTTTTTATTCAAAATCTTTGGTAAAACTCATCCGCAATGTGGTTCGACACCCTTTTTTTTTGATTTTTGTATGCAAGAAACGTAACGTACATACACAAAGGCATGCATTAAAAGGGTAACCATTTTCTTCTTCCATGTGGAACACGGTAATTCGAATGAGCCCTTCGGTACACCGCAAACGGCCACGCGACCCAGGATTTTCCCATTACGATCCCACTTAATGTTTCATGAGCCGGAGCGACGTCGTTCCAGTTGGTTATGTTCTAGGTTAATATTTCCTTATACTTTAGAGAAGGAGGAAGAGTCATTTTATGGCTACTTGTTATATATATCCCTTCTGAATGAATAATCCTAATTAATTACCACTGTACTGTAAAATTGTATAAACCCTGATTCCTCCTTATAGGAGAAGTTAAAAAAAAAACTAGTGGAACTAACAAGAGACGAATTAAATCCAATAAAAAAGTAAAGAAACAAAATTAAAGATCATTTACTGTAAACTTGGTCCATGGATAAAAATTCCGTAATTTTCATGTTGATCAAGTATTAAACGATGAGTTTATATATAATGGCTATCAGATATAATAATCATCTTAAAGCAAGTTTCTCTCAGTCTTGATATCATTAAGCTGATCTGTTTTATAGATGAAAAATACTTTCTAGCGAGCTAGTTTTTGTATATATATATATACATATATGAAAGCCAGCGAAAAAGATTGTCATTTGCCGGATACGCATTCCTTTTATACCTATACCACTTGTTTATACAAGTTTCCCAACTATTTATTTCTGTTATCCGTTTAGAATATCTCTCAACTACCTTTTATATATATACATAACGCGAGATGTAGACAATTGTTTATATGACAAAACTTTCTCGCGGAAAGGAATACAGCATTTACCACTTTATTTCTATTAATTGTTATTATTGTTTACTATCGCATATAATGAATCGACCATTTCAAAATCTCTCCATTATGACAATTTTCCTTTATTTCCGCGCACATATACCATTTGCTATACGTGAGTAACTGAAACTTGTGCGGATTATATTCCCCCTATAGAATTATTTTTAAATGCAGAAATATTCAGGAGATGAATTTTAATTTTTTTTTCTTCAAATCCTCCTTTCTTGGTTTTACTTAAGATTTTGTGTTTTTTAGCAACCAAGTTTCTATTTGCTACTCTATATATATGGGATAGAAATAAAAACAATATCTATTAAAAATTTTAAACATCTTAACATCATCATTATAATATTTTGAATTATTAGTAAAAGTATCCATGGACTTATATTCCAAAGTACCGAAGTACTAAAGTACTAGTGTACTTAAGTACAACTGTATCAAGGTACGAATGTACCACGGTACTAGTGTACTAAAGTACTACTGTACTAAAGTACAACTGTACTAAAGTTCAACTGTACTAAAGTACAACTGTACTAAAGTACAACTGAACTAAAGTACTACTGCACTAAAGTACTACTGCACTAAAGTACTACTGAACTAAAGTACTACTGTACTAAAGTACTACTGTACTAAAGTACTACTGTACTAAAGTACTACTGTACTAAAGTACTACTGCACTAAAGTACCTCTGTATTACTGCACTAAAGTACTACTGCACTAAAGTACTACTGTACTAAGGTACTAGTGTACCAAGGTACGAATGTACTAAGATACTAGTGCACCAAAGTACTAGTACCCTACAGTACTAGGGCACTAAGGTACTAGTGTACCAAACTACTAGTGTACTACAGTACTAGGACACTAAGGTAGTAGTGTACTAACGTACTAGTGTACTAAAAAACTAGTGTACTTCGGTACTAATGTACAAAGGTACTAGTGCACTAAGGTTCTAGTATACTAAAGTACTAGGGTACTAGTGTAATAATGTACCAAAGTACTTATGTACTAAAGTACTAGTATACTTAAGTATTTATGTACGAAGGTACAAATGTACTTATGTTTAAGGTACAAATGTACTTATGTTTAAGGTACCAAAGTACTTATGTACTAAGGTACAAATCTACTTATGTTCAAGGTACAAAGTACTTATGTACTAAGGTACAAATGTACTTATGTTCTAAGGTACCAAAGTACTTAAGTACCTATGTAATAAAGTACTTATGTATCAATTACTAAAGTACTTATGTACCAATGTAATAAAATACTTATGGACTAAGGTACTAGTGTACTAAAATTGTACTAGTAGTACGAAAATAGGTACTAGTGTACTATATATATATATGGGATAGAAATAAAAACAATATCTATTAAAAATTTTAATCATCATTTTAATATTTTGAATTATTCGTAAAAATATCCCGTTTAGAGGGTTTTAAATAAAATAAGCATCCTATTCGTTCTTTTTTAAGAAGCTTGAAATTCAACGATGAATTATTCCATTGGGGCGTACATTTTCATTTGGTTCTCTCTCCCTCTCACTCTCTTTCTCGATACAGAGAACCCTTTTTCTTTTCACGAAAAACTTTTATCCGGACTCTTGAGATTTAGTTTCAATGTCGCCTTGATGATGATACAACTTTGGTAGGAGTATCGCAAATTAACATCAGCTCATCTAAAGCTTGTTTCTCCCACATCCTTCAATGAAAATTAAAAAACTGATTCCAAAGAAAGTCGTCTTTTCATACTCTTTCTGTATTTTTAATAATATATATATATAATAAATGATGCTGCAGGTTTATTTTCTATGAAAACGTATTTATTATTATTTTTTTTTTATCTCATTCTTAAAAAGATCCACTTTGGTAATGTTTAACATAGTAAAAAAAGGCCTTATGAAACTTTTAATAAGTAAATAGACTGGAAATGCAGAAAACGTTTACTAAAAAAAAATTTTTCTTTCAGAATACAAAGAATAGTCTTTGATCCCCGAGGGAAGGAACCGAGTTTGTGAAACGGGTCTCTTTGATTCATAGCCCATGCACTCGTGTTTGCCTTCGGTATTCCAAACGGAAGACGTAGGCATTGTCCTCTCCTCTCTCTCTCTCTCTCGCTCTCTTTCCCTATCCCCGTTATTCAAGATCAGCGTTCGATCCCATCACCTTGATTAAAGTCGACAAGGCAGGTTTAATCCAATTACGCCACCTGGATTGCTTTTATAACCCTCCCCATAGTGTGATCCTTGGTAAAGATAAGGGTCGTGCGCGAACGTTTAAAAAGGGGTAAAGTTCTTTGAAACTTTTTTGATAGGTTATGAATCGCATACTTTTTGGGGGAGATATCCCCCTTTTTCTTTTGCCACCTAATTTCCTTCGCGCGCACTTTATATAAGGTGCGCGCTGCACAATTAGCGAAAATTGCCAGTCTCAAGAAATGTCAGTTTAGAAAATGGCACGTGCCTCGAGGGTGATTGGATTATTACCGGATATAATCTTATAAAATTAAACAAAAGATTTAAAATATAATTATTCAAACCTAGATATCATTTTTTTTATCAGAAATATCTAAAATAGAAACTGAATTCTCTGCTGTATAAATGAAATGACCCAATAAAAAATTTCTTTTGTCAAAGATGCGCCAAGCACCTTTCATTCAATATGGGAAAGTTTTGACAAACTCTGCCAGAGAGATATCTATAAAGCAAAAGTGGAAGACGTTCCCCACCAATAGAGGGACTTGGCTTTTACGATTTACAAACAATGAGACCCGAAGTTCCTGATTTGAAATCGGTGGTTTATATAGTTGACTCCTGTGAGGGTCGTAATCGCAAAAGCGCCCCGTGAAGACGCAAGATTTTCATTGGTTTAAAATGTATTCGCGCGCGGTTGGAGCCCAGAGACGGTTAAACGTTTTTAAGCAAAGTGGGGGACGACGTCCTGTTCAAATAATAAGTCCGAATGAAAGTTGAACCCCTCCGATAGCCTTGGGCATAACAGTTTTCTATCCAGACAATGGCAATATCCTTCTAACAGA